CCTTGAGCTTTGGCTGCTTTCAGCCTCATCCGAGGGTTCCCCGGCCCTCTCGTTCGGTTTCACCTGTTGTTGAGTTTGAATTCGTTTGTGCAGTAGGCGCGTTCGTATCCGGACACAGAGCCTCATGAAAGAAAGAAAGGGCCCCAAAACCCCATTCCAATTAGCCCTTAGATAGAAGCTCGAGGGGTTGAAGGTACCGATCCGTTTCGGCTGGGGTGCCTCAGGGCTTCGGGCTCTCATTGAGGCGATGCCACAGGACAAGCTTTTCTAGCGGCCTTCATGATTCGAACAGGATTTACGGGGGGTATTATGTACCATAGCTATAATAACTACAATAGGGAACCTCCAAAAGAGTACTGGTAATTGTTTAGGCCCCTGTTTTATCTCACCCAAAGGCTTCCCTCAGAAACCCGCTGTTTCTAAGGCTACCGGCTCTCACTTGCGATTCTCAAACCCTTCAACCTTTCAACCCTAAACCCCCTGAAACCCCTAAAACCTCTAAAGAACCGTAAACCCTAAACGCCGGAACCCCAGAACTCTAGAACCCTGAACCCTAAGCAACAAAGGGGCTTAAAGGAGAACCCCGTAGAAGCCCTCAAGAACCCAAAACCCCAAACCCCAAAACAACACCAAACAGAAGGCCCAAAGGGGGGCCTTAACCTACCGTTTTGGGGTTCCTTATTATGATTTCCTTATGTAGGTCCTTAAACGGGTAGGCTATTTGGGGTTAAGGAAGGTAACACCAGAACCCTAAACCCTAAACCCCTAAAACCCTAAAACTCCTAAACCCCTAAACCCCAAAACCCTAAACCCTCAAAACCCCTACACTCCTAAACCCCTAAACCCCTAAACTCCTAAACCCCAAAACCCTGAACCCCCAAAACCCCTAAACTCCCCTAAACTCCCAACTCTACTGTTGATGATATATAAATCCTGCATGACCCATACTACCATAATTCCCATATATTCCTTATTATGGGTAATGCAGGATTTATATCATCAACCCTAGGAGCACCTTGCAGCTAAATCCTATATAAACCCCTAAACCCTAAAACCCCCAAAGCCCCTAAACCCCTAAACTCCCCAAACCCTAAACTCCCCTAAACCCTAAACCACCGAAACCCGAAACTCCCCTAAACCCTAAACCACCTAAACCCCTAGGAGCACCTTGCAGAGGTCCCGGTAATAATATAGATATGTTAGGACCTTAATAGTACAGTAGGCCTACTATGGGCTCTTACTGTCTAAAGGCCTTATTTAAGGAATATACCTGAAATCGTATTAGGGATCCTACTATGATACTTGGGGAGCGCCTTGCAGAGGTCACCAGTCTTGTAGAGCGTGAAGGGCGAGGCTCCCTGGGGAGCTCTGGCGCAGAGGCCCGGGAAGTCGAAGAACGCGGCCTCTCCGGGCACGGCTTGGGGGTATTTCTTTTACCTTTTCTCTTATTCATCTAACATTAGAAATCCTAGTTGTTAAATTATAGGAGATTACGCACCTTAATTTCCTAAGCTTATTTCCTTCATTAAAATTACAAGTGCGGAACGAACGCGTGAATTTAAATGAAACGAAATAAGCTGAACGAAATTGGTGCGTTTCTCTTTAATTTAGGGCGTTGTTAGGGCTTTTAGGGGCTTGGGGTTTAGGGCTCAAGGGGTTAGGGGTTTAGGGGTTGGGGATTTAAGGCTTTGTTAGGGCTTTTAGGGGTTTGGGTTCAGGATTTAAAGCTTTGTTAAGGCTTTGGGTTTAGGGGTTTGGGGTTTGGGGATTTTGGGGATTTAGGGGTTTGGGGCTTTTAGGGCTTTGGGTTTAGGGGTTAGGGGTTTAGGAGTTTAGGGCTTTGGGGCTTTGGGTTTAGGGGTTAGGGGTTCGGTGGTTTGAGGGTTTAGGGATGTTGGTTTAGGGTTTGTTGGTTTAAAGTTTACCGGTTTCGGGTTTACGGTCAAGGGCGTAGGGCTGCTTTGGTCGATAGATCTATGATAGGTAGATAGCCAGACAAATAGACAGATAGACAGATAATGGACCGGTATACAGACAGAGAGACGGACACATACATAGCATCTGTCGATGCATATACCCGGGCATCTGATATTTGGGATCCAGAAGCTTAGAACTTGAGGTTCGAGTTTGCCCGACAGACCTACACCCAAACCCTCAAGCCTTACTTCCCAAACCCTAGATTCTGCACACTAAAGCCTGCATGCCTAGAGGAGTTAAGCCGTCGAGCCCTGCAGCCCGAAAGCTGTCCTATGAGAGCAATGCAACAACACACAAGTAGCAGCAGCAACGATCGTAACACACACATCTCACAAAAAGAAACTCTCTCTAAGAAGTGCTTTATGTTTTCCCTAAACCCTAAACCCTTAAACCACCTAAACCCTAAACCACCTAAACTACACCCTAAACCACCTAAACCCTGAACCCTAAACCCTAAGCCCCTCAAGCCTAAACCCCCGGGGGGTTGCCTCGGTCTTCTCCGGGTTCTTAATGTACCCACTGGCCAGGCAATCCCCTGAAAGATTCAGGGATTGGGGGTCTGGGGTGGGGGATGGTGTGGGGGACAGGGTTTTGGAGATTTGGAAGTTTCCGCAACTTCGGGGTACCTTATTTTGGGGTCCATATTATAGGAAGGATCCCACTATCTAGGGTACTATATTAGGGTCCCACATTTTCGGAAACTCCCATGTGGAGTCCCATGTGGAGTTCGGTTCATGGACGTCGGGTGTACTCTTGAGGCTGATGAAGACAAGCACAAAGACTCCTTGACTAAACACCCGGTTTAGGGTTTAGGGTTTAGGGTTTCCGACCACTGCACTTGCAAAAAGCCACGAAGCGATTTTGTCTTGCCCATTACGACTGCTCCTAGAGCTACCCTAAATCCTCAATCACAAACCCACAAACCCAACGATCCTAAAAGAACAAGTTCCCACAGCTCTCTTCTTGAACAACCGGGCCCAAAAAGTTCAATTTTTCTCAGATAAAGCAAATATATAAGGCCAAAAAGTGTAAAGTTCTCCCGTTCACTCTCTAAGACAGTAATAAAGGCCCTGAGCTGCGGCCTCCGATGAAGAGTTCGCCGATGGTACCAGGAGCCGCCAACTTGAGGCTGCTCTCCTCGATCTTACCTCCGTCCTGGCTCTCACCCGGTTTGGGGTTTAGGGTTTAGGGGTTTAGGGTTTAGGGTTTGCAGGGTGTAGGGGTTTAGGGTTGAGGGGGTTTGGGGTTTAGGGGTTTAGGGTTTGGGTCCTGCAAAGAGAACGCGCAACATCTGGGAGTTAATTTGGGGTACCTTAGGGTTCCTTTAAGGGTGGGTATAGGGGATCTATAGGGTCTAGGGTTTAGAGTTTCCGAAAATTAGAGGTACCTCACTCTGGGGTCCTTATTATAAGGATCCTACTATTTAGGCCCCCCCCCCAGTTTCGGAAACTCCAATCTGGATCTGGACCGCAAACTCCTCATGTGGGGGCCTTACTAATGGCTTTGGGGTGTGTTATACTATAGTTGCAATAAGGCACCTCCCAAAAAGCAGTGGTAAGTATTCCAGCCTCTATAGTAACTATTCCGTCGTATTCTTGAACCCGTGATGATGCACTACAACTTCCTTCAAGAGTCGTAAGACAGTGCAAGCTTGTGCATGGAGGGGGTTTAGGAATGGGGGGGGGGATTTGGGGCTTGGGGGGTTTGGGGGCGGCCCTCAGGGTTGGATCCCACAGCTTTATGAAGCTCTAAAGCTCCAGGGCATGCGGATGTGAAGAGACCCAAGATCCAAAATCTACCATGCTCTACTTAGTGGCTGAGTTCTTAAGCCCCCAAAAGTGTACACTTTTGGTTTTATAGTGGGTCATATTATCCCAAAAGGTGTAAAGTGTAGCCACTCAGCTACTAAGTATAAATCGAATAAAACGAAGGCTCCTGGGGAATCTCTGGGCCGCACCCTTCTCGTTCCGCGGTCTCGGGCTTGGATTTTTGCCGGTTTTGAAAAACTTCGGGACCCAAGGTGTGGCTCGAAGACCCCTCCAAAATACCCGAAAACCCCTGCAACCCGAGACCCTAAGCCCTAAACCCTAATCTCTAAACCGTGACGTCACAGACCCGAAAAAACCCAATGTCTCACCTTCGAGGAACCCTCTCTTCGCGACACTTCGACGGGCCTCAAAGTCCTCAGACCAAACCTCAAACTGAAACATAAGCAACCGTTTCATATAGGGGCCTTAATAATTAGGATAGGGTCTTGGGGAACCCCAAAGTAGTATAGGTAATTCTTAAGGCCCCCGCACAAACCCATGGCTTACTGCGATTTTTAAGGGAAGCGGCTGCGTAGCTGCTCGGGTCGAAGATGCAAAAGTTGACATAAGAAAAAGGCCTCGCAAGGGGCTAGGGTTGATGATACAACTCCTGCATTACCCATAATAAGGAATAAATGGGAATTATGGCATATCCCTTATTATGGGTCATGCAGGATTTATATCATCAACAGTAGGGACCAGTGACACAATTCTACTTGGAGGCTCAGGGGTAGTTCTAAGTGGGGTTGTAAGTCCCCTAATATGGGTTATAAATATAGTTGCCCTACTTATAACCGTACTTATAACTACCCATGGACCTCCAAGTAGGGACCAGTGTTGTAGGGGCCTTGATGATTGGAGTCGGGCGTTGGGGTATATTCTATGATAATTCTAGTAGTGTCTTTTAGTTGTATTCAGGCGGTTGTGTCATGTCTGACATGGCCTTGAGGACGCGCACGCTCGGTTTAAGCTAAAATACCACAGAGAACGCTGCGAGAATTCAAATCTGAAGGCGTCCTTTCTACTGCGATCTAAGCTTCGAATGGGCATGGATTGAACTGCAAACGCACGGAACTAAAATCCAAGACCTGCAAAGCCGAACATGGACCACCTATGCAATTGGCTAGCTTCGCAGCTGTGCAACCTGGGCCCTGTGGCCTCTTGGGCTCTGCAAGTGCTCGGATTGTGGCGAAGTTCAAGGGTCAAGGCTCTCATCTACTTGTTGAAAGTGTCATTCTCTTTCCTGCGATGCGCCCTACATCCAATACCCAGAATCATGCAGAATCCTAAAAGCCAGCAACCAGGAAACCCGAAAGCCAAAAGTCTTAAACCCCGAGACCTAAACTGAGCGACGAGGCCTTCCGATAGGCACCACCGTCCCCAAGTTCTCCACGTTGCCACCCGTCACCTTGAAGTGAGAGACGCCCACGCTTGCCTGCAACAGACTATTTTGGGGGTTCCTTACTATAGTTATAGGTATCATGGGCCCCAAAACCCTGTTCTAATTATAAAGGCCCTTATACTTACCCTTGGTTAGTAGGGAATGGAAGAATGGTCGTAATAGTAGTTATAATAGTACCCCATTCCTCCATTCCTTATTAACCAAAGGTAAGGAATGTGGGGCTGAGGGTTAGTTAGGGATTTAGGATCCGAATCTGTGGAAGTGTGGGCCGGGAAGCCTAACGAACTGAAAGGACAGGTACCACTGGAAAAAAGGTTTTGGCTGCGACATGAATTACATACTGCTACCGAAAGAATGTAGAATCTAGAACAGACGTCGCATCTTCAGCCGGCTACAATCGCGACGCGTTGCAGCAGCGTCGGCACTTCAAGGCCCTCTCGGGTTTGTTTTGAGCTCGAGCCGGAGTGGTGCCAAGGGAACAAATCATATTAAGGAACCCTAAAAATAGGTAGGTTTCATAGGGTCCAGGTAGGACCTTCATAGTCTTAGGACTCCCCAACGAATCGCCCCTAATGTCAAGCACAGGTTCTGGCTAGGGCTGCGCCTCCGTTGGGCCGTAGAGGTTGTGAATCTCCAGCTCCGGGATCTGGCTCAAGATCCTGGGCTCTCTGGTGCTTCTGTTCTTCTGCCTGCTCCCTAAGCCTTGAACGCTTACTAATCCTTAAACCCTGAACCCCAAACCCTAAAGCCCAAACCCTTTCTGGGGATCGGGATCGGACCCAATGTCACGTACGAGTCATTGCAGGTCTTTGAGTCCTAATACTCTAGGCTATCTCGCAGTCAGCAGATTTAGTGCGCAGTGTTTAAAGCCATTAACGCCTCGACAAGCACTGGACAACCGTTCTAGACTCGCTCAAGTACACTCTGTCAACTTGAAGGCGGCCAAAAGATCCTTGATTGATCTTGATCGCCATGAGACTGAACTCACCATCGACAACGATGTTGGAAAGACTCCCCACAGCTTTGACCCTGAACTGCAGAAGCTGAGTTAATCTTAAACTCCAAACCGCGGACTCTAAATTCCAAGCCCGAAATCCCAAACCCTGCCGTTACACCCTCACCCCAAACCCTTCCCGGCCCAAACTCCAAAACCTAACCCTACTCGGCGCCCGGAATCTGTGCGCAGGTCGCCGTCATCAAGGCCTCCCCGATGGTCAAGACGCGGCGAAGGGACTGTCGAACCTGAAATTGTGGCATCTGGGGTTCTTAGAGGTTTGCGACTTTGGTGTAGGGTTTGGCCGGTTTGGCCTACACTACAACATCTGGCTGCAAAAAACAGCAAACCACTAGACTAGAACATGAAACCAAGTCCTAAACCCTAACAGCGTATTTACGCCTGGCGACATGTTGAACCTCCTCCGGGTTTCGCTCGAGGTAGTTCACGAACTCCACAAGCCTCGGGTGCCAGAGCTTCGACGGCTCTACGGGGTGGATTTCGCTCCTGATGCCCATCTAAAACCCGAATCTATCACCTCACATTTCCAAGCCCAATGCCCCGCAACCCGAACCCTAAACCCTCCACGAACCCTAAACCCTCAACCCCCAAACCCTACCTGGAGGTTCATGGGTAATTATACATAGGGTTATAAGTAGGGTAACTATACTTATAACCCATATTACCCCAAACCCTAAACTCTCAAGCCCTGAGCGCTTAACCCGGGGTCCGGTCAGGCAGCAGCGTCGGCACGAAGCAGGCGCAGCTCACACGCCGGCTGCCGATGATCTCTGCAATGGCACCGGCGTCCTGGGAGCGGTGTTCTGCGTACCGTAACAGTTCGACTAGGTTTTGGTGGTATGTCACTCACTGTACACTGTGGAGTCATTAAGGTAGATGATTGTGGAACTCCACGTTCAGAGTCATATTTCTGTCTGCCGAGGCTCCTGTATTGCGGCTTCAAAAAACTCGAGGATCTATTGCTGCAGTGATGCAGCAAAAGTTACGCAAAGCACAAACCTATCACGTTCAAGCTCGGGATGCCTTGTATTGCAAACATATTGAGGAACTCTCAGAGATTATTTCTTAAGTAGCACTGACTAGATTCAAGCCCTCAAACAGTCGGAAGACTGTCCGAAACACCGACAGTGCTGTCATAACATGGGCAATGTCAACAACACGACTACTTTTCTGCTTGCTTGTGCCAGTACGATTGGTTCCCATTTGAGCTGCTGCTGCTGTCACTACGACTGTGGGTTCGATGTACAGTTCAGGCCGGCTTCAGGTTTGGTTCCCTGGCAACCCCACCGTATCTGTGTCGTTCTCTACATCAGAGTCCCCTTTTGAGTCCCCAAAATTAAACGGCAGCCTCATAGAAAGAACCCGAAAAGGGACCCGAATCTCAGGAAGAACCCCATGTGTTGCCGGCCTTGTGAGCGCCTGGGTCTGCGATCTCCAAGGTGCCACCCGCGCAGAAGGCTGTGAAGAGGTCCTGGCTTCGCAGGCCAGGGAGTGCAGTCCTTAAGGGATGAGGGTTGGGGATTTTGTATGGGCCGCAATATGGGTGGTTGTCACAATTATGGTCCCTTGTTGGGGTCCCTATTATCATACGGACCTATTATTTAGGGTACCCAAAAAGGGACCATAATCTTGACAACCATCCATATGTAGAATGGCTTTGGGGGGTACTAAGAATTGAAGAACCTAATGACAGATATGATCAATCATACAGGCTTCGGCTTCCAAAGTACAGGGTCCCTTTGCAGGTAGCCGGCAGCTCTGGTCCGCATGACCAAAGAATGAGCCCTAATCCTCAACATCCTGAAGCACTTACAACGCCTTGCGCAGTGCAGAGCGGCAAACCCTACAGTGGAAGCCAAAATGAAGCCACCAGCCCAAACGTGCCAAAATCCACGACGGATTCGCGTGCTGTCCAACCGTCTACCCGAAAGCCGAAGCACGGTGGTGAAGAGACCATAGACTATACCTGCACATAGGGCTATGCAGAGTGGATTACGCACCAAAGCCCGAAACACCAACACTCCAAATGTAAGGCCCTGAATGGTTACCTGTACTATTTTGGGGGGTTCCTTAAAAGAATTATCGTATAATGTACCCCGAAACCCTATCCACTCTAAGCCCTAAGGCATTCCTATTCGAAGCTGCGTGGTCTCGATCTCGCCACCCAAACACATTTCCTAAGAAAGGAAGAACTGCAAGTATGTTGCAGCCTCGCCTGGCTTCAAGAATTGGGGTTCAAAGACTTTGGGTTTGGGTTCCGGGCTCAGGGAATAGCACCTGGCACCTCTTTCGTCTACTATTGGGGTCCCCTATGTTCGGAAACTCCCACATCTAAGGAATTTTTCCTTAAAGTTTCAACAGAAGCTGAAGATCGTCCTCGTTTCCTGGCACTTGGTGCTGTGAGGCTTCACCTGAAGGTCCCTAATATGAGTTGTAAGTATAGTTACCCTACTTAGAACCCTACTTATAACTACCCATGAACCTCCAAGCGCGGTCCTGAATGGACACATCAAAGACGTAGGGCGTCTTCAGAAGGAACACCATGCTCTCGTCCTGGCCCGATGGATACTCCAGCTTACCTTTACTTAGTAGGGAATGGAGGAATGGGGTACAGTTATAACTACTATTTCTACCATTCATCCATTCCCTACTAACCAAAGGTAAGCCAGGAAGGTTCCAAAGCAAGTATGACAAGGCTTTGGAAGACGCTCTTGCATAGTAGGGTGAGGTTTGCCTATTAACAGTACAATTAGAGAAGGGTTCAGGGTTTAGGGGGTGATACCGAAATGCTCCATTCTGGCTGAGTATGGCTTGCGTTCACACAAACCTGGACGATAGACTCGCCAGCAGTCTCTGTTCACCTGTCTGGATGATCGCATCGGCACAGCCTGAGTTCCTAGGTCCCTCAATGCAACTGGATGGACGGAGTTCTTGCAGATTCAATTGTCAGGGCTCTGGAGGGTGCGCATCTGCGTGAAGCTCTGGCCCATCACGAACGCTGGATCACGGAAACCCGAGAATCGTCAAAATCTGAAGCCCTGGCCCCAGCCATAAACCCCAGAGCTTAAACTCCACTCAGGCAAACAACTTTCGCCGGATCAGAGCCCCAGTCAGTCCAGGTTGCACTGGTCCACAACTGCTTGGGCGTACAAAGCACTTCCCCGATGAGGGACCATGCAACCTTGGGTTTGGCCAGGCCCAAAGTAAAAGCATGCGGATTCATGTTCAGTGTGTAGGTTAAAAGCTTATCACAACTCACCCCCAAACCCTACATCCCAAATTCAAGCCCCAAGCTCTGAAACCTAAACCAACACACCACTGAACACTAAAGACCATTAGGTGGGGAGCTTTGCTGCGGCGACACGACTGGTGAATACTGACGAAGATGTCTCAAGGCAGACTCAACGAAAACACTAATTTCGTCATGTTGTAAAACAAAACGAACACTGCTGTCTTGATTTGGACTATTTCAGGTCCATCCTGTAGAACTGAGAATATTCAGCTAGAGCTCATTTTCTGGCACGGGTGGCTTGTGGCAGCGAAGCGTTCGCAGCAACCTTTTTATCCTTCGATGTCGGCTCTTCCTAGCATTCAAGCCCAGAAATCCCAAAGCGTCGGATTTTCCACCCGCCATAACACCATAGCGCTGAGACTAGTTGGACCGCAAACTCCAAAGCGTTTCTGTAGTTCATGGGCCCTTCTCCCATCTGCAACATGTGTTGAGCGCTGAGGTTTATGGGCAGTTAAAAGTAGGGTCATAAGTACCCTAATATGGGTTATCAGTCATCAATATAGTTACCCTACTTATAACCCTACTCTAAACTACCAAACCCTACCCTTCTGTAGGCCCTTATGATACACCCTAATATGGACATGAAAGGGACCCTGCAAAAAAAAAGTTTTGGTGCTTTAAGGTACATATAACTACCCTACTTGTCGGGTATCACGAGGAACTAAAGGTTAACCTTTTGGTTATATTGGGATTCCTTAACCCCAAGTAACCTACCTTTTTGAGGACTTATAGAAGGAAATCATATTAGGGAGGCCGAAAAAAGGGTATATAGGTTCAAAAATCCAGGTTATACTACTAGGCTACCCATGAACCACGCAAGTGGAGAGCTGAGGTTCATGGGCTTTGGAGGCTGTTTTGTGGGCAGGTGGACTAGTTCATTGTTGGGATAGGATTAAAAATGTGCGATTTCATTCCTTATTGGGTTTAAGTACCCATAAAAATGTAAAATGCTACCCAACTATGACAAAGTGGAAGGGACTCGAAGCTCCACGGTCCTCGGACGCTTAACAGAACTCACTAGACCCTAAACCCTGAACCGCAAACCTTAAACCCTAAACCCTAAACCTTAATCCCTAAACCCGAAAACCCTAAGCCCCAAACCCTAAACCTTAAACCCTAAACGAAGCCCCCGTGGCCAAAGAGGGCAAGCTGCCTTTGGGCTTCCCCGTAGAGCCGGAGGTGAAGAGCACGTAAGCCGTGGCCTCGCTTGCAAGGCACGGGTCTGGTTCCGTTTTTTGTTTTGGACATGGGGTGCTACAGGTTAATGTTTAGGGTTTAAGGTTTAGGGGTTTAGGGGTTTGGGGGTTTAGGGTTTAGGGTTTAGGGGTTTGGGGTTTAGGGTTTATGGTCTGGGGCTTGGCGTATGTATGTAGTAGGTTTCAGCGATGTGTGTTGCTGTTGTTGTTGTTGCTGCTGTTGCTGCTGCTGTTACCTTTTCCTTATTGACGAGAGGGGGTTGGGCAGATGTGCCCAGAACTTCGAGCCTGCGACAGAAGGGATCACCTGTCGTAACTCCGTGCCTTGCGATGTCCTGCCTAAACTGAGATGTGCGTCTGACAGACCAAGACACAACGTCCGAAACCTTAAGATGGTGCTGCGGCTTCTGGAGACAGGCAAGAATCCCTCACCTAAGGTCCTACTCCCTGACCTCCAAGCCTAAGCCGAGATCCTATATCCTAATCTCTGAGCTTATTATGGGGCCTTTATCATTCGAATAGGGTTTTGGGGCCCACTATACTTTACTTGTAATGCGGAACCCCCCAAAATAGTATTGGTAATCATTTCGGCCCCTATACCAAAGCCTAATAGTAACCCTTATAAGAATCCTGATAGACACCCTTACAAGGAACCCTTAAGTAAATTACTCAGGCCTTGTTCAAGCCTAGACACGCTGTCGGGGACCGGCTGTAGCTGTGCGAAGTCCCTCGGCAGCGGATGGTCGTCTTCGGCCTCTTCAAACGTCACGAAACGCACAGAGGCGACGGCACCGGGAAACGGCTTTGAAGGTTAAGGATTGAGGGTTTAGGATCTAGGGTTTAAGTTGGGTTTAGGATGGGGCGTGCGGGCAATAATTTTGGGGCTTAGGACGTGGGGCTGAGGGCTTTGGATTTCAGGATGAGGGTGAAAGGCATTTTCGTCTAGAGTTGCAAGACTGTGGCTTTTAGGGGCCTTTCTGGCTGCGGTAGTTGAAACGCAAAGACATCTTCAAAGCAGCTTCAAACCTCAACAACAACATGCAAAGCGGGCAACATTCTTAGATGGTCTGCCGGCGTGACGGAGACCATCGTTAGGCCGGCAGACATGCATGCTGTAAAGCACATGGAAAATGGAAAACCCTTGTAGCTTAACGCAAGGGGGTTCCGATATCAAGGATCCGCCTTGACAGTTTTCATGGGTAGGTGGGGGTAAATGGTAGTTTCCCAAAAGTAAGGGGACCCCAATGTAGACCTCTATAGACTGCAATCCTTATTGTGGTTATCCCCAAAAGAGTACCCCCAAATTTGGGAAACCTCCATATAGGGTGACCACAGCTATTGCGTTTCCGGGCTCTGAAACATGGCCAAACCTTTTTGTTTCAATCTACCCATATTCCTCATTGCACGAGGGCACGAATATTTCTAGCACTTGGCGGCTGCATCCCTACATGATGACAGGGCTTACGGTCTAGGCTTTGTCTTACTTCTTCACCCATATAAACCAGCATGATCTGTCCACACACGCGCTCTTTGTTTGTGCGTGCTCGGAAGCATCATCTCTGCAAACATTGCTGTCTTCTCGTGATGCATTCGGAAATAATGGGGGAGATTGACTAGCCTGTAAAAAAAGAGGACACAGATCAGTCGGCTATTGACGACTATCAAGCCACGTAGAGGATTCTTCTGGGTTGCTGTCACGGAACTTAACTTAACATCTAAAGCTACTATATTGGGGAAACCCGATTACTTGCCACACTTTCCCGTCACAGTCACTTAAATTCAGCTCCTTGACAGCAACCCAGGATTTCACAAGCTCGAAAACGCACCGCATTGCTGGCCATGTGACTAATGCAAACCAGTCTTCTGAAACATCTGAGCCATAGCACGGCTTAGGGTTAATAGGGAGCATGGCAATATACAGGGGCTATTTGGGATAATGGAAGAGGCAAGGGAAGCTGCTACATTATAACAGGGCATAATTGGTGTTACGTGAGCTATAGTCTAAGCTCCTGTATCCCCCTTACTAAGTCTATACTGAACTTAGAATCCTAGCAAAAATGTTAATTTTAGCTGTTTCTTAGTGATTATAATAACCAAAAATCAAAAAATATTTCTAAGTACCCCTAAGTAGACTCTGGCTCAACTGCCCCAAAGAGAGTCCCGGCAGGATCTGCATGCGTCAAGGCTCTTCTCTGGTTCGGGATTATCACTACATGCCTACTTGCCGGGTATCATGGAGAACTCAAGGCTAACCTTTTTGGTTATATAGGGATTATATAGGGACGATACTACCCAAAGAAGGTAAAAGGTTGCCTACTCTACTACTAAGCATGGGCTTCTGATTGCGGCAGTATCAGTGACTGTCCCAGGATGTCCCATGCATCCATTCCCCAATTCCCTGCAGGCCAACAGCGGTCGATGAGTTCGATGATTCTGTTAAACATGATGGAAGTCACCCTTGTCCTTTTAGAAATACTAGACAGTGCCCTATACCTATATCCCTTAGTAGGAATCATTTAAGAAGGTCTACTAGCCGGTCTGTTTATTCTTTTGGGGGAATCATGAAAAAGGACAAGGCTGGGTGGAAGAGCCTCCATCCAATCCCTCAGAATGAGGAGACAAGTTGCACGGACTCTCGCCGATTGGAAGGCTCTGGCTGCGGGCCCCTTTCAGCAGCTCCAACGTGCACCGCGTTTCTGGTCACACGCTTTAGGGTTTAGGGTCACGCGGCTGCCAGGAATACAGGGTTCATATACGGTTGTGGATAGGGGCTTATGATAAGTGACAAAGCCTTCGTGTTAAAAAGGCTGGCTTCTCTTCAAGGGATTTGCTTGTCCGCTCTCCCCAGAAGCATCTCAAAACACTGCTCTTGTGCCAGGTCAGAAATGCGAAACCCTAAACCCTAGAACTGTCAGAAGGAGAGCTCATTCAGCCTCTGCATGCGTCAACGCTTTTCTCGCGGTTCGGATTTGAAGCTTGGACCGGTGTCGCTTCGCAGCATTGATGAGGAACTTGTATGATATATGCCGGCATGAACCCCAAACCCTAAATCATAAATGCTAAACCCTAAACAATAAATCCTAAATCCTAAACCCTCAACCCGTGGTGTCTGACCTCATCCTGGAAGTTCACTTGCCTTCGGCCGGGTCGCTTGCTTCCGGACGCTTGCCCTCAACCCTGCGAAGCCACGAGTGACCATTGCAGCAAAGAAAAGTACTGACAGCGCAAGTCCAATCAGTGCACCAGGCATGCCATAATTCCGATAGAGAGGCACCTTCGCCAGGGGCAACACTGAGACCATGGAGTACACGAGCACCACGCCGCACGTCTGAAGGTAATCCATGCCGTGGCTCTGGAACCTGGGCTTCGCAAACCGCCGGCAGAGGCCGAAGAGAACTTGCTCAGTAATAGCCACTGACATGATGGCAGACGAGATCGTCTCACCAATAAAGTAACTCCAGATGACCTCGCTGGGGGCACCGGCGTTCCACAACGCTCCGAGCACATCAAAAGACCATCCCAAAGCTGGACTGTAGATCAGCAAGCAGTAGGACAGAGGTGCTGTCGCAGCTTCTGCCACTTTCACAAGCTCAGCCCTCAATGGTCCACGGACTTGGTCGGTGAAGGCAGCCGTGCTCCCGTACCACTCAACTAAAGCTGCGAGAATAAACTGCCTGTCTGCATCATCAGAACAGGACACCTTGCTGAGGTCGAAGTTTGCCATCTGTCGAAGACTGCTTTCTTGCTCTTGGAAGCCTCGTCGAATGGCGTGGGCGCCTGGGATGACGCATGCAAGACTGAGGAAGCCAGGAATGATCGTCAAGCTCCTGAAGTTTGCCAGTGAGTTGACCATTGCGTACGCTAAGGAAACGAAGAACCAGCAAGGCCAAAGTGCCAGAAAGTTCCGCTCTATATGAACACTGGTTGGAAGGTCAGCTTGCCGCGCGTATTTGCGTGGCGATACGCGGCAAGCTCAAAAATACACCATAATCTAGACAAGAGAGGTTCGGACCACAAGATGCGGAGCTCCTTCGAGACTGACAGGTAGCCTCCAATTCCGTAGATGCCCCTGGAACCTAGTTCATGGTTGGGATAGGATCTAAAATTGTTGACTTGTATTCCTTATTGGGTTTAAGTACCCATAAAAATTGTAAAATGTTACACAACTATGACAAAGGAACGAAGTACAGCATCTGTCTGATGTATGCACACCACATCATAGAAACATTTGTAGGTTCTGCAGGACGGCAAGGCAGGCGCGAAAGCCAGGGCCAAAAGCGCGGCTACAAAACTCAGCAGCAAGGACCAGATACCGGAAGAGATTTCGCCTTGAAATTGCGCAAAATTTGCCGGGTACGGCACAGGCATGGGTAAGATGTCCCAGCCGTACAACATCAAGATCACCAGGGAAGTCACCATCATAGCTGACAGGGCATAGTGCCAGTAGAAATGGAGCAGCAGGGAGATGTACTTCTGATATCCGGGCGTCCACCATGTATGCGACAGAAACGCATCGAAGCCATCTGTCCCGACGGAGGTTGCCCACAACTTCTCCAGCTGTGCTTGGCCCATTTTCGCTGGGCGCAGTCGCCAAAGCCGGCCAAATCCTTTCAACGTGGTGGCCAAACCTAGTTCATGGTTGGGAGAGGATTAAAAATGTATATTCTTATTCCTTATTGGGTTTAAGTACCCACAAAAAGGTAAACTGTTACCCAACTATGACAAAGAAACTCACCGAACGGATGAGCTCTGCATCTGCTTGGAGGGACTCTGTGGGAGCCCTACTGAGATATGGGACTGTTGAAGGTGCAGTAGACTCAGGTTGAGGAGAGTCGTTATCCGGAGCACCATCAACGTCACAATCGAAGGCGCAGGTGGGCTCTGAATCAACGAAGCAGCTTGCGGAAGGCAAGCTCTGGCTTTTGGCACCTTCCTCTCCCTGCTCGCCATCTGGCGCACAAGAATCCACATCTGCACGACAGGCCACAGCTCCCATTGCAGCCGCCGTCAAGAAACTGGGTGAGAACGCTGCCCTTTAAAAACGTTCGAGCTGCTTAGGCCACGAAAAGTTCTTCAGCAGCAACGAAGTGCTGGCATGATTGTGATTTCTACGGTCATGATCATGCCCATCAGCACTGCTGTTGCTAGGAGTGCTGGTACGATCTAACCATTCCCGTGTTGCTTCTGCAGTCACCATGACTACAAACTATCGCTCAAAGCTCGTGTTGACTTCCTGGCCTCGCAGACGCGGCCGTCGTCATGAACGGCCAGGATGCCTCAGGTGGGCCACGGGCTTTTCAGTGCAAAAGTTGCTGCCATCTGTTGGAAAAAGGGGAAGGTGATCAAACGAGTAAAGTATTGTGACGATGATGTTCCCAATCGGGGCAGAGAGAGTTACCGAAAATAGGGGGACCCGGATATAGTACCCTAAATAGTGGGATCCTTTCTAAAAAGGACCCCCAAATAAGGTACCCCCAATTTCCAGAAACTCCCATGTAGGCTCAAAGTGAATCTACTTCTAGTCTGAACCCGGAGCCCGACCACCCATTGACAAAATCCCACGCTAGCCATAAGTCTCACACTCCCAGGGATTAAGAAGGGTGGATGAATGCAAGATTTTGCTCAACCACCTCTACCACTTCCCACTACCTACCACCAACACCACCAACACCACCACCACCACCACCACCACCACAACCACCACCACCACCACAACCACCACCACCACCACCACCACCACCACCAGAAGAGGCGTTGGCAAGAACACTGACGGTACTAGCGCCAGTTCTCACGGTAACAGCAGCAAGCTACTCTTTCTTGCCATTCTGGGCTTGCATGCCTTTCAACCACGATACGAAGGCCCTTGCAGTCGTGCAGAACTGGCTGGGGCACCTGCTGACAAAATGGAGGGCGGGGGTTTGGGTTTAGCGCTTCAGGCTCAGTTTCGCTAGATTGGATTTCAACTCAAGTCTACTGTTTGGCTGGCATACAGTAAACTCCATAAAGCTGGAAACCGGATTAAGGCCAAATAGCGCTGGGATCCCCTATACATTACTGTTAAGGATTGAGGCTATGGGGTTTCCAACTGTTGGGCTTCTACTGTAATCATCTGCTTGTTGGAGATCTCTCTCCGGACGGTGAAGAGCTGGACCAAGCCGTCTGAACTATGCCCGCAATCTTTTCAACAGGCTAAATTCCCACCGAAAAGTTCGGTGAACACCGATAAAATCACTCTGCACAAAAAGTTTAACACCCCAGGAAGCCTGTGATCGGTAAAGACCACTGCAAGAGGCTCCCTTTTGGACTTGAATACTTGGAACAATAAGGTTGCCGCACGCCATCATGATATAAGGACTCCAAGCAATGGTCTGCACCCTAAACTCCTAAAGCCTAAAATCTAAAGCATACAACCTAAACCCTTTTTGCCCCAAAACCTGAACCCTAAGGACCCCGAAGACATCCCCGCCGAGTAGGCTCCCACGAACAGCAGAGGCCTGAAGAGCAGGGACCAGTGCAAAGCTAATGTCCGCAGCCTCGTGGATTGTGGAAAGGGGACAGGAGGGGTGCTCGGAGGTTCAGGGTTAGTTATAAGTGGGGTTATACGTCCCCTAACATGGTTATAAGTATAGTTCCCCTACTAATGACCCTACTTATAACTACCCATGAACCTACAAGTAGGACCGGGGTTTGGGGATAAGGGCTTTCGTGTTTTGGGTTTCGGGTTGAGGGGTTTGAGGAGGGGTGGCCGGCTCGGGAGTTCAAAGTTGAGGGCGTTCTTCCTGCTGTGCTTTCCATGCTGCTTCTTGCAATAGAAATAAGACTGACCCATACTACAAGCCCTAAACCTTAAACTCTAAACCCGTAAACCCTAAACCCCATACACCGTGACCCTGAAACCCTACTACAAGTAGCATAGAATGCTGCGAATACAGGAACTTCCCAGGCTGCGGGGGCCTCGAGCATGGAAATGGCCCGGGCCGGTGGAAAGTCCGGCTCGATCGGCGTGTAGGCCTCTGAGACCGACACTCTTACAATAGGGGACCCGAATATGGTACCAAAAATGAAGGGATCCATATTATAAGGACCCCAAAATCAGGTCAGGTACCCCCTAATCTTACCACGTAGGGTTCAGGCTTTCTAGGATTTGTAGGGTTCTTAGGGCTTCTACTAGTAGGGTTTCTAAAGGTTTTAGGGCTTTTGATGTGTTTTAAGGGCTTTAGGCTTTGAGGACTTGAAAGTTTAAGGGTTTGGGGACGAATGCTGGGGAGGGAGTTGTGGGATCGGGGGCTTCGTTTCATGGTTCTGGGCTAGCGGCAATGTTTATACTGCTTCTACACGGACTGTCAACATACGCCCCCAGCCGACAACTCAACCCGAAAGACCCTCAAAGCCTAAACCCGCCTAAACCCTTAAACCCTAAACCCTAAATCCTAAACCCTAAACCCTAAATCCTAAATCCTAAACGCTAAATCCTAAACCCTAAACCCTAAACCCTAAAACGTCAAGCACGGATGCAGAAGCGACCTTCGATCCCCCGAACTGGCGCCTTCCCCGCTCGCAGCACTCCGAGGAGGCTGATCACCAGGCCGTAGGAGCCTTCGGTTAGTAGGGAATGGGGGTTTAGGGGTTTAGGGCTTTAGGGGTTTAGGATTTAGGTGTTTAGGGGGTTAGGGTTTAGTAGGGAATGGACGAATGGTAGTAATAGTAGCTACATAATAGTAATATGGTAGTAATATCATAGTAATATGGTAGTAATAGTAGTTATGTGGTAGTAGCATGATAGTAATAGGGTAGTAATACTGCTGATGGAGAAAATCCTGCATTACCCATCATAAGGAAGATACCATAATTCCCATAGTTTAGAGTCCTTATGGTCATGCAGGATTTTGTCCATCGACAGTAGTAGTTATAATTGTACCCCATTCCTTCATTCTCTACTAACCAAAGGTAAAGCCGTAGGAGCGATCCGCGACCAGGGCCACCACCCTGGTGTCCTGGCTTTGAGGGTGTAGGGTTTGCAGGGTTTGGGCTTTTAGGGTTTGGGGTTTGGGCGTTTCAGGGTTTAGGGGTTTAGGTTTAGGGTTTACGGCTTTAGGGTTTTAGGGTTTAGGGGCTTAGGGTTTGGGGTTTAGGGTTTCGGGGTTTAAGCTTTTAGAGTTTAGGGTTTGGGCTTCCAGGGTCTTAGGGTCTTAGGGTTTTCGGGTTTAGGGTCTAGGGCTGCGAGGTGGAAAAGGAGAAAATGTGCATGATTCTAGGATTTCGGAACCCTGTGGCGAAACGCGCAACACCCCAATACCCAGAATCTCATATCTCCATGTGTTGTGAAGCCGGGGTTCTTGCCAGAACGACTATTCTCGCCAGGGTCCGTATAGAAAGTGAGCATTGACAAAGATCAGCAGGAAAGCCAGGAATCCGAACTTTACGAACCCGGGACTAATAGACACGAACAGCCTGAAAATCGACAAACAACCTAAACACCAGGGACACCATCGAAGGCCAGAGCCACGGAATCGTAGACGCCCTGGAACACCCTAAACCTGCCGTCCCAACCCCCCGAACGCAGCCCTGAGTCATCCCTAAACCCTAAACCCTACCGGGGCTCCAAGAGAACGACGTGGCTGGCACAGCACTCCACAGCTTTCCAGACTTCCTCTGCTTCGGCGTGGATTCTAGAATTTTGAGGGGTTCTACGGCTTCAAGCTCCGGGGCACTAGGGATTTTAGGATTCAAGCATCTGAAGTGGTAGGGCCTTGGGATTCTAGCGGGTTTGAATGGTTCTTAGCGCTTTAGGGTTTAGCATTTTCTGGTCGCTTCGAGGGTTCTATGAGGATTTAAGGGTTCCTTTGGTGGCGAGTGAAGCGATAGTAGCCAGCAGCTGTAAAGCTCCAAGCATCGGCATAGGTCATCGGAGGGTGATCTCCATGGCGCAGGCAGATGTGCTCCGGGCGCCTGGAGGCACTGGATTCCAGCAAACCATGGAGCGTCGGCATCTTTAGTCCTGGGAGCTGGGGACGTTTTGGGGGTGCCAAAGAGGGGTTACCGTACTGCAATCAAGGCCCCCAAAACGTTGGCTGTGAGGGCTGCTTTGACGGTTTTGATAAGCTTGCGTAGGATTTTGGTGGATTTGAGGCTGCTCAAAAAAAGATCCTGTTCAAATTATTAAGGCCCCTATATATCATAGTACCCTTATAGAACCCCTTGAAAGGACCCCTCAGAGGAACCCTTAGTGTTGCGGGAACATGCACATGAGGAAGGGCCACAGCCCAGAAAGTGCCAAATCCCCAAACCCTAAACCCAGAGACTCCAAGATCCCTTAATTAAGGAATATTCCTTTAAACATATTAGGGACCCTGCTACGATTTAAGGAATACTCCTTAATCAAGGGATGCACCAGTCTCTGGGAACCCCTAGCCCTCTGCAAACCAGGAGCACCGAAAGGCAGCTGGCCAAAAGCAAAGCTTTCTGTTTCTGCTTGGGTCAAAATAGCTGCGGAAGCCGCGTGGGTGTGCAGAGCATTCTTGGCAGAGACTAAGCCGCTGAAGCTCTGGCAGGACAGGCAAAGCCCGAAAACATCATGAGGTTGGGGGCGACTTCCGTCTGTGATAACTCCAGCGACTGCCGTGGTTGCTGCGGCAGGATCTATCACTGCTCTAACTTACTTGTACCGCTATCATGACCTCCCGTACGACCACGTTTGTCGCGACGAACATTTGTAGCACTACCTACCACGAAGTGCTGGCGCTGACAGTGCACAGGTCGTGCTTCGACAAGCATGAGTAGTGCACTCATGCGGCCTTCTGTTCGTGGCTTCACGCGGTTTCCACGGCTGGCATGACGAATACTTGCTTGCTTCCCCATGACTAGTGACACACTCAAAACATGTCATGCTGCTATTGTGTATGGGAATGACAACGAAGACATGATTAGTTGTGCTGAATACTCTCCAATCCTCAAAATAGACAAGATATCGGCGACACTAGCAGCGGCTCTGACCATACTGCTAGGCAGCCACTGAAACAAAGACTACCAAGTACTAGTTATGCTACATAAACAGGATGATGAGTTGCCCGTGCAACCCCAATGTGGTCTACAGTCTACATCATGGTGGTCAGAAACAGTCTCAACGCATCAGCAGCCCTGTCCGGCGCCTCGGGTGCACCTAAATCCCATAGCCTGCTTCACTGACATCACCTGGCGGTCTCCGACCAAGAAGCCGGAAGCTGCTTTAAGGCATGCATACTTGGAGGTTCAGGGGTAGTTATATGTGGGGGTATAAATCCCCTTAATGTGGGTTATAAGTATGGTTACCCTACTTATAACCCTACATATAGCTACCCATGAACCTCCAAGTAGGACCGGGGTTGGGTAGGGTCTGGGTACCGGTGCGGGGTGCTGCTGAGATCTGTCTTATTCATGCCTCCGGTCCGGCTACCCTGTTCACTTCTCGTTACATTCCGAGCCTCCCAGAAAAACCCGCTTCTTAAACCCCAAGCCCTAAACCCTAAGCCCTAAACCCCAAATGCCAAAGTGCGGAGAAGGATGTGGCCACAAAGCTCCTCGTAACGAGTACAAACCTAGGCAAAACGCTAGACTTGTCACGGAACGCTGCTGAAGACCTTTGGCACGGATAGCCTCGAATGATTCGCAACAGACCCTCAGCCTGCGAACGAGATCCTACAAAGTTAACAACTCAAGACAGTTGACGGACAAAAAGCATACCCCGGTGAACACACAGTAGATGCAGAGCAACAGCGGAACGGAAGACAAGCAACTTGCTGCAGAGAGCCCTGCCTACTCCTGATTGCACTGATCCGCTTTTAGCTAGCCGCTGTTGCTGCGGAGCTCGCACCTTGACGTAGCTTAGTACAGAATCATCTGGAACGGCGCAGCCTTATCAGCTGTTTCCATCGTCCCATGTGCGCACCGTGCGCGAAATAACTAAACGAAAGTAGGCGGCATGAGCACAGGGGATTGGAAAAGTTGCTCCTACGCTCAGGGAAGAGATGCCTGGTGCTGGCCAAAACTGAGGGATCTGCGTGCTTTGACGCATTCACAAGCATTTGTTGACTCCGGTGCTTACAGCCGCGGTATTCAGGTGTCTGAAGTCGAGGCGACCACCACATCATCAAAACAACGGCCCGGTTGGCCGTCTGCACGCTCATCGATGAAGCGACGACTGCGGCGTAGCCATGCAGACAGCTTTGCTGCAACTTGATCGCTTTGATCGCTTAGCAATGACTCTGCAGAAGAGAAGGAGGCACCGCCAAGCGCTTTGAGGTGACTCGGATACAGGTTTGCAGGGCATATGCTCACACAAAGCTCCTTGGCTCTTGGGCGGCGTCTTGAAAATTCACATGGGTTTTGGATCTTTGGGCTTCACGTCTTCTACAAAGACCAAAGAGCATCTACGCACTTCTATGTCCGACCCAGGCTCCGTAAGGCAGATCCCAGATGCCCGCGGCTCCCCCTCGGAGTGTGCCAGCAAATACCGGCCAAAGATCGACTCCAGAATCTGCATCTGCTCCGCATTGTACCTTGCTTCTTCTTTCCAGGTGAACAATGATGGTTGTGTCTTCGTACTCCTGAATGCAACTAATTACAGCAACTTCGTTTGAACCGCAAGAACTTCTCCAACGCATGAAGTCGAAGAGGTGAGGTGCGGGAACAGCGCCAGCCCGTTGAGCGGCCAATCCTCGGTGGCGAAGACGGTGGTACCGCCCAGGAGCAGGGCCGTCACGAGAGCGGGGATGCTCCACAAGCAAGCAACGTCATGTGCAGAGCTGGGGAGGAGGGCCAGCATGTAGCAGGGGATGGAGAAGGGGAAGACAACTCCCAGCAGAGGAGCCGCGAACACATGAAAGCCGCAAGCCGCAGCGCAGGCTAAATAAAGGGCCACTTGGCCGCCCAGCAAGCAGGCGAGCACTACGAGGAACTGCATGGCCAGGCCTGCCCAATGCAGTAGGGCCAACAGCGATGGGTGACGAAGGCACAAGTCCATCATCCAATGCTGTCTCATCCACGGCCTTGGGTCGTGCTACATTAGTGCTCCGGTTGATGACATAAATCCTGCATTACCCATAATGAGTAATATACCATTATTCCCATAGTTTAGGAGTTTAGGGTCCTTATAAGGTAATACAGGATATGTATCATCAACCGTCCTACAGGACTGTGGCTCATCAAGAAACTCTCAGGCCAAGCGGCGGCTCCACGACGCAGTGCGGTTTGAAGGGTAACTCCTGATCTCGGGCAAAGCGTATGTGCGACTCCAGCGTACTTGGATCCAGCCACTTCCAGCCACCAATCCGCAGCTTGTTGAGGGCCGGAGAGCCCAGCTGGTGTGCCACAATGAGCCGCAGGACCCCAGCTCGCGCACTGCCAGCGGGCAAAACCATGGCGAGAGTTGTGTAAAGGAAGACAAAGCCCGTGTGACCGCCGTAAGCCGCGAAAGCCACGAAGTCTGCGAGGAGTACGAAAACGCAGTATGCTGCTCGGAGCCAAAACACCTGCAAAAAGGGTCGCGTTGCTACTGCACTTTTCCTGGGGTGGCAGGGGCGGGGGTGGATGACATGAACAAACTCTGGGATGTACCGAAGCCTCTAATCCCAATCGCCCACATGGCCTCCACCAAGTCGGTGGCAAGGAGCATACCCAGGACCGTCAACGAGAAAATGAACACGCGACACCACTTCCGTGCTCCGCGCAGGAGCCACACTGGCGCCCAGGAGGGTCGCCGCAGCACCGGGGAGTCGCTGCTCTCTTCAGCGAAATATGCCCACGCGATCAAGGTTGCCACGAAGTACCACAGCCGATCCGGGATAGACATGCTTGTAGGCGCAAACTATAGGATCAAGCAAACTTCGCCCTTGCGTTATAGCTGAAGCCAAAGCTCACAGTCGGGTAGGGTAGAGGCCATGCAATGATCCTGCAACTACTCACATCTGTTGCTCAATGGCAGGACCGCCTTGCGCTCTGCATGCAAACAGCAGCTAACGGAGTTGGCTACCAGCACACAATACCTGTCATGTCCTTATTCTTACCGTTGTTCGTTCTCCCAGTGCCGATGGTCTTGACACATAACTCTGCAGCTGAGGAGCTCTGTCGCAGCTTTGGCGTCCGGGAACCGGGACGCAGACGCTGCTTTGGGCTCCTTCTAAGTGCCGGGGTTGTGGATTAATTGCGCTTGCGGTCATTGCACTTCGCGCTCGCGCCAACTACCCACCACGCTAGAACTAGACAGCCGCAATACCAACACAGTCGGCCCACATGCTCATACATGTGGTGTTTCCCTACACCATCGCAGACTGTTTGCCATCTCAAAACCACCAGCTTGTCAATTCGCGGCCGCTGTCACGAGCAGTTGTGATGCTGTGCCCTCAAACCAACAAAGCCCAAAACCATCATGAGAAGAAACTATCCTTGCAAGTACCCTGCTCAAAATGTAATATCTGAGGAATACCCTCACGACATAAATCAACCAAAACTCGGAATTCAACAAAGTTGCTGTGGATACATAACACTTGGATGGGTACATCTGGATTCCACAGGGCTCGGCTCAAAACCCTCAAGCCCTGAATCGATGCTCCACGCCCGAGGCCCCATTCCTGCTCACCTGCCGGATTCTGAGTTCCTTCTTATAGTTATAGTGTAATGGGCCCCAAAACCCTATTCTAGTTATTACGGCCCTACATTGTAGAAACCGTGGCCTCGCTGAAGAACTCCAAAGCCCGCGAGGGCCCCCGCGATTCGCAGACAAAGGTGCCATGCTTGGCATCACATTTTCCCAAGCAGGTTTAGGGTTGACGGCTACGTGTTAGGGCTTAGGGTTTAGGGTTTAGGGTTTAGGGTTTAGGGTAAACTGTTTCGGCTCCGAAGCGCCTGCACTGTGGACTGCTCCTGGAATGAGAGTAATGGTAGAGACCTTGCAGTTTCTGGGTAAACTCATTGATTTGGGAAGGGCGTCGTTTGTTTAAGTTACCACAATGAAGATGTGTCGCAAATGATTTGGCTTGCCGAATATTGTAACTTAAGCTAAGTTTCTGAACAAGAGGTTTGGGGCTTCCGATTAACAGCGAGTTTGAAGGCAAGGTTCTCCAGCCTCCTTTGGTTCAGCGTGGGGTATGTGCGGGTGCGTAAAGTGTACAGGATTCCAATCCCCGAATTATGGATCTGTGTTCGGATGAACCCCGTCTATTATTCGAAGCAAGTCGGTTCAGGGCTTAGGGTTTAGGGCTTGATCAAGGGACGTGGGAATGTTTGTTGCGAAGTTCTGGCTCGAGGTTCAGGGGTTTAGGCTTCAGGGCTCAGATCTTGCGATTGTAGGGCTTTGGCTCAAACCTAAACCCTAAACTCTAAACCCCATACCCGAAACTTTGGTGGTCCAGGATTCCGGGGCTTTACGGGTGCAGGGATGTATTTCTAGCTTGAAAGGTTTGAGCCTCGGTGGCCTTCGATGGGGTGGTGTCGGAGTAGGCGAGCTGTGAACTTGTCGCCATGCAATCCGGTCACCCGATTCTGAAACCAAGAATTCCAACTGCTCGAACCCTGAAGCCTGAATCTCTTCGAAATCCTCAAAGGCCCCTTGAACCCTACAAACGCGGAACGCCGCGGCAGCGACAAGGCAAGAATACTACTAATTTGGAACCCCAAACCCCTCAGCCCTAAACCCCACCTGAAGTTGAAGGCCGCGACCGCAAAACGGGCCCCAACCGTAAACTTCTTCAAGCAGTGAACCATGAGGTCCCTGTTGGCTTCGAGTTCGAGGCTCAACTCCAGTGTGAAGAAGCGGCGCGGTTTAGGGTTTAGCGTTTAGGGATAGGGGCTCAAGACTCCGTCTGCAACAGCCCTCTACAGTTTCGATACCAACGTTCAGGCTTTGGGGTTTGGGGGGAAATGCTGGTAATATGGAACAGCTTCCATGCTCGTCTGTTTGTGCTTTGATGCAAGAAATGGGAATGAATTCAGCAGCATCCTGCCCAAGTTTCAGGCAGATGGGTCGGGCGGGTTGGGGGGGGGGAAAGGAGTCGGGGGCTAGAAGGATTATAAGGGTATCGCGGTTCAGAGCTTCGGGGGCGGGTCTGAAGTTCAAGTAATCACCTACTTGTCGGGTATCATGGGGAACTAAAGGTTAACCTTTTTGGTTTTATGAGGGATTATACAGGGGTATACTACCCAAACAAGGTTAAAGGTTGCCCACTCTACTACTAGGATCAGGGGCTTCTACACCTGTGGTGGGGTAAGGGCTTGGTGAGACCATTGTGGCTCGTTGGCCAAACTTGCAATGAATTGGAGCCGATAAAAGCACAGACAGAAAGGATATGCGCATCTACTCAAATTCATCGACCCAAGCCTTAAACACAACACCCGAACACAGATTATCCTACTGCCTTCAAGCATGAAGGGCATTTCAAGCTGGACCCTCCCAATCAGCAACCACCAACCCTAAATCCCTCCAACCCTGACTGGCCAACCGCTGCAGGAGGGGATATGGGGTCTTCGCTATCGGGCATAGAGTGTTCAGGGTGCAGGGATTGGGGTACTCTGTGTCACGGCTCCCAAGAATTCCTCCCTCTGCCCAATTTTCGGGCAGAGTGGCTGGCGATAGAAAGGCTCAAGGGCCTGTTGGTGCTTTCTCACCCCGAGTATGAACAGACGACTTTTTATGACGGCATGCCGTGCTGTGCAGGGACTATACCACTAGCATCCCCAAATGGACACGCCCCGTAAGTAGGCTCACCAGAATACTCCTACGGAGCCATTTAATCACTCACCAAAACAACATCGACGCCTTACCAAATCCCTGCGTATCATCAATCAACATCAGCGGCCCGCTCGGCGGCCTGCGACTCTCAATGGCGTGGTAACTCTATGGGTATGCGGATTAGGAGGGTGAAGAGTTCCTCCAACAGGAATCCGGCAAGTGCCAGATCCTGTCCCGACAGCCTTATTCCATCTAGACCGCTCCTGCACACAAACTCAACACCATAGTGAAACCACTTAGCTCTGTAGAGGCCAGAGACCCCACGATGTACATGTGCATACATAATCATATATACACAAATTCGTATATCGGGATGATCCAAGACTCCAAGCTCAAGACAACCTTGACAGCGTAAACCTCGCCGCAAATTTCTTATCTGGTACATGATAGCACATTATCCCCCAAAGCCCCACCCCCCCTCACAAAAAAAAGACTCATCCAGACAACCTGGCCGAAGCTACTAGTTTGAAGATGCCCAATGAGTACGAGCAGAGGAGACGCAAAGCGTCCACATGCCCAACACCTCGACGCTCCGCCAGGATCGCCGCATTGCGAGCGCGGGATGAACACGTGCTCCTTACCAGCATTCTAGGTGCTAGGTCATGCTAAGGCGATTCTGTTCGACATTTAGAGGAGCACGGCCTAAGAAGTGTCTCAGCAGGAACGAACGCATCGGAGTGAACATAGAGGCGTTCATGTTCATGGGAGGGTTTTGCCCTTGGCCGCAGGACATTGCAGGGTTCAGTAGTGTGAGGATGTCAAGACTGTGTATAGTCAACAGGTGTAGGCTTCTGAATATGAGACTGCTTTAGCACGTTGCTTCTTGGATGTGAAGTCACATACAGTAGCTCCGACACATCTACGACTCGCATCTTCTTGCCGCTTGCCCACCCGTCGCCGCAAAGGGCAATAAGTTCAACTGCATCGCCAGGCCCGACAGCCTCTTAAAACTGCGAGATCCGCATTTGAGCGTTTTTCAAATGGAGTACGACCAAGGAAGTGGCGGTTGGAGAATGGGCTTTCAGTGTAGCGAAGAAATCAGCATGCAGTTGCTGAAGCTGTGGAGGTGAACTAAACCTTGTTGGAGGTGTCAGGCTTGTTATCTTCGCGGCTAGCAGCGGCTAGCACTGCTGCCACTATTCGTTGCCACCAGTCTTCTTGATGCCTACGAACACGTATCAATTGGGTGCAACACCCCGAAGTGCAGGGTGCGGGGCTTGAGCCAAGCATGTTCTGGTCATGGGAAAAGAGATGTAAAGACCCTTGTAGCCAGCTCTGCTGAGTGATGTCGATCCCCCACACCTCAGCTATGAAGTCTCACTGCTTAGCTCATAAACCCCCAGTATCGCCACCCTCGACCCACGTCTTCAGCCCTCAGCGGCCGGAGAGGGCCAGAGCCCACTTTCGCACTGGACTTGCGAGCTGTCCATTCCACTGTGTTCCCAGTTTGCTAACACCGCAATCTCCAGACTTGCTGACATGCTTGTCTAACTGTCAAAGTGGCCAGGAGCTGTTAAGATTTACATCTGGGGTTCGAGACCTCACGGACGATGGCAGAATATCCAAGGGTGTTATGAAGACGAATCCTTGAAGCATGAAGCTCCAAACGCAACACAGAGTGCGACTAAACTCAATGGCCTGAGTGATCTGGAACCAGTTTCCCCTCAGCCTGTCACTCCCGATAATATCTTGATGCCCTACTCCGTGCAATCTCCATGCAGGATCCCCCTCGCCCTGCTTGTCTTTTTGGCTTCATGTATTTCTTAATCTGAACACTGCAGACCAACCCAGGCACACTGTCAAGTGCCCGGCTGCATGTATCGAGGCAGCGTTGATGTGGCCTGGCCACGTGCCTGGCATAAACTGGGAAAAGCCCCCACGTCCGTGTCCAGTCTATTCAAGCTGAGACGAGCCCAGAGGCTCAATGAAGACATAGTATACAGCTCAGCTTCTCCAATCAAAAGGCTCTACACTTGGAAAGTCTTGACGAGTTCCACACGGCAGCAACGGCCCAGTTATGATAAACTGTCAAGTCGCAGGCAAGAAGCAACCCTGCGCCCTAGAAC